AGTACCTCCTGGGCATAGCCCACCAGACCCGAGCCATCCAGCAGGCTCCGGTGCTCCTGGATCTGAGCGCTGAGCCGGGCCAGCCGCTCTTGTTGGCATTCCTCAATAGCCTGCAGCAGCGATGCCCGCTTCTCTTCTAGCACAGCCCCCAGCCCTCGCACCAACTGGGACACCTCTTCCCTCGCCTGCTGGCCACTCACCTGCCCAAGGAGAAACACCCGAAGGAGGCATGACTTACTTTTTGAAGGCAACACCTGTGCTAGCCTCCTGGGGTGCCACTCACTCCAGAGCTAGGATCACAAAGGATAGGGAGAAATGCTACCTACTCCTTCCAAGAGGGCCAAGCTTTTTGTGACTACAAAGATGCTTCTAAGTCCAAGTGAGCCCAACTCTTGATCATTTGTACTAACCTTCCTGGATGCCCATCATATAATGCTGGCCCACTGTGAAGTCCCTAGATAAGAGGCCATGACTACAATAATGTTCAAGGACCCCTATGACACCCTACTGCCCATGCCCAAATCAGCTGATTCAAGCAATCTGGCAGGAGGCTTCAGTCTCCCTCCTGTGTCATCCCCAATAGACAGCTGGGACGGTAAGCTTTGAGCTGTATTCCTAGGGCTTTCTGAGCTCTCCTTGTTCTGAGCTATAACCACCCAGCCCCCACTACAGCCCCAGGTACAGTCTGACCTGGGGCATTGGTGTTCCTGCTAACCTGGTTTAACTAGAACCTCACCATGTGTGGACACCCGCACGGGTCACATGAACTTACAACCAGCTGTGCCCACTTGCACCTTCTTCTGTCTCCCTCCCAGGCAGGGCCCAGGGCCCATCTCCATGCCCTCCCTCACCTCAGTGTGTCTCACGGTCTCCTCCAGCTCACAGATCTGGGTCTGTACCGTGTCCTGGTTTCCCAGGATGTATGTCAGGCTCTTTGTCAGCTTGTCCTGAGGGGGAAGAAAGCGGTGGGCATCATGCCCGGCCTAGTAGAGGCAAGCACTTGGGAGGGGGATGCACAAGAGGTGCATGTGAGTTAGCACTAGGGTTCAGTGAGGAAGGGTCCTCACCTTAAGGGCCTGGTAGGCACTGAGCACTGGTGTGATCTTATGCCCACTGTGGGTGCGCCGCACTCGGCAGAGTTGGCATACTAGCCGCTGGCAAGTCTTGCAGTAGTGGGTAACCTCTTCCTTGTGGTCTGGGCACATCAGGCCCTAAAGACATAAAGAGCAATGAGAGAGCCAATGGTTTTAAGAGTGCTGGCAAGACCAGGCTGGTGCACTCTGTCCCCTGCCTGGCAGGTGGGGCAGACGGGAGTTCAGCAGTGTGATGCTCCACACTGCCACCAGGTGGTATACACTCACAGCAACCAGAGCCTTTCCTGCAGTCCCCAGGCCATGCCCATTTCCTCTGCATTGCTCCTCCCTTCATTTTCCCCAGGGGGATTTGTGGTAATAACAAAAAGGATGATGATAATTAATCCTGGTCTTGTGGTTAATAATTAACCTTGTCTATTGTTCTCTGTTGTATTCCTAGTGCCTAGAACACCACCAGGCACATAGGTGCTCAATAAATATTTGTTCAGGGAATGAATGTATACATCTCTTTTTAGTGTAGCGATAACTTTTACAAACATTATCTTATGTGATCCTCCCAATATTCTACAGGAATAGATATTACAGGGTAGATACTATTGCCCCTACTCAGACAAGCTAGGGACACGAAAATGATGGATGCTTTGTCCACCTATCCGTCCCAATTATCTAAGATAGTGTCCAGAAAAACCCCTTCCCACCTTCCTCGCTGTCCTTGGGAAATCCCTCCAGTTCCTTTTGCTCTTGGCTGGGGGGCAGATGCATGTCCTGCCAGAGGACGCTCCCACCAACCACCACCACCAAGCCCCTTGCTCCCTAGGTTCCACAAAAACTGGCTCACCTTGGGTCGAAAGGAGAGGGTGGGCAGGGTGGGCTCGTGCTGGGCCTTCTGGGTGCCCCAGGGGTGAAAGAGCTTGAAGCACTCATTGCAGAAGGTGGCCCGGCACTCGGTGCAGCCCTTGGTAGCTTCTAGTGGAGGGGGCTTGCACAGCTGGCAGAGGATGGCGCCACCTACACTCACACTCTGGCGATACCGCTCCACCACTCGCTCCAAAGTCAGGTTCCGGAAAAGTCCTGCCAGGCCCCTTTCCCCCAGCTCCACATCACCCTGGCAGGCTGGGCACGGGAACATGATCACCTGGGGGTGCAAAGCTCCTCGCTTCCGCCCAGGGTATGTCCCAAAGCCTGTAGATGAGCCAGGAAGATAGAGCGTTACAGGTAGCTGGGCAGGGCCGCGTGTGGGGGTTATTTAAATTCTAAAAATTAGATTGGTATTGTTTCACAGCTCAATTCTTATCAGAGCCTGAGTGAGCAGTATCTCTACCCCTAGAAAGACAGACAGATATCCTTGACCATTGATGGCTCCCTTCTATCATCCTGATAGACATCCCAAGACCCACTCCCCCCTCACTGCACCTCAAGACCGCTTCCCACCTGACTTAAGCAGCCGGTCCAGGCGATCTGGCTTGGGGAGAGTTCTGCGGGAAAGGCGGGGGCTTCGAGTGGAGGGGGTGGAAGCAGGAGAGGTAGGCTCCGAGCTGGGGTCCCCACCATGGCCTATATAGCCCTGCTGGCCCATCACCTCCCGGGCACAGGCCTGGCATACATTGTGGGTACAAGGCAGCACCAGTGGCTGCTTGTACATCTCTTGACACACTGGACACAGCAGTTCCTTCTCCATATTCTTCATGCTCGTCTGTGAAAGGATCAGAAGGTTGGGTCAGAGATGGGACACTTAGGGATGGGACACTTAGGCATGCTTTGGCAGAATCCTCAACTGCCTTTAGAGACCCCAGAAATCTCAGGGAGGAGCAAGATACATCAACCACTGTCTTGGCTTCCCCCTCCTCCCAGCTTCCCCCACTACCCTGCACCTGCTTCTCTCAGACCTTCCCAGCTCGCTCTCTCCATCTCTGCTTTTCTCCTGCAGAGCTATGGACCTGGAGAGCTATGGGACCTGCAGAGCTATGGCAGGGATGTTTGGCGCTCTTGCCTCCCCCATCCCCATCCCCTTCATTCTCGCAGCTGTAGAACAGAACTCACCCCCCTCACCTGGCCGTTGTCCCATCCCCCCATCTCCAGGCCGCCTGCCCCCGGCGCTCCTCTCAAGGACACCGCCCATTCTGCAGATCCGTGCGGACCCCCGCCCCCTTCTCTAGGAGCCCTCTCGTGACTCCTCCCGATAGCCATGCGCCGCTTGCTCTCCATCCTCCAGCTCATCTCATCCGTCCTCCTGCCGCGGCTCCGGCCTGCGACTGCCCCAGCCATCACTCTTCACATTTCCCTTCCTTATCTGTCTCCCTCACACCGACCCATTCACCTCTGTGATCCCCCCCCTCGCGGTCCTCTTGTCCCCCTGCCACTCCCCAGCACAACCTGACTAGTGACAACCCCCTCCCCACGCTAGGGGGAGACAAGTGTCCCACCTACTCGACCCCTCCTCACCGGAAGTACCCCTCCCCTTTTCGGTGGCGAGGGTCCGCTGGCTATGCCCCACCCCCCACACCTCACCTTGGTCCCTCTCTTCGCAGCCATCCCGGTCAGGGGCGCAGCTGACACAAAGGAGGGAGAGACAGGGAGGGAGGGGGAAGGAAGTGGTGGGGGGAACAGGGTTGGCACCGCCCCTGGGAGAGCCGGGCACGGGTTGTCATGACAACCACAGGCTCCCTGGCAATCCTGAGTGGGGGTTCGGTGGGGTGGGGTCTCGAGGAGGGTAAAATTAGGGACAGTACCCTGGGGAGGGTCCTTCATCGTACCCAACTTGTTCTCTGCTTTTAATTTTCTCAACTCATACACGCCCCCTTCTCCTAGCGTAGCCCTTTTCCCCAGCACCCCCAGCTCCGGTGCACAGCTGGCAGTTACCCTAGACCACCCGCCGCGTCTGAGCAGCTCCTTGCTCCTCACACCCGAGCAGACAGACGCTTTCACGGCGCTCACCTCAGAGCAGCCCCGCGATTACACTCTCACACCTGCATCTCAGTTTCCGCCATCATCAGATGCTTTCTACATCTAGCATCTTCCCAGATCCCCACCTGTTCAAGGTCTTGGCCTGCCCCGACCCCTGTAATCCCCCTCCCCTTTCCCGCGACCCCTCCTTAACTCACACTGATGCGGACCAGTGCATCCATGATGGAAGTGAAGGTCTGCATATCATCCCCCTCAGCCATCCCCGCGGCCGCCCGCCCGCCCCCGGGTGCCCGATCCCGGCTGCGGCTGCGAACCCTGGGCTTAATGCAGGAACCTGGTGGGGGTGTGGGGAGGGATGGGGGTAAGATGTCACTGCGCATGCTCCAGGGACTAGCCTCGAACAGCGCCCGTCGGGGTGGGGGGTGGGAAATAGTTCTCCCCACGTGGTTCTCCGAAGGCGGGGGGCGGGGGGTGAGTAACATGGAAGAATATTTGAGGGGGAGACATTTTATTATGTTCGAATTTGTCACTGGACTCTAGTCTCACTAACATAAGACGGGAGGATAGTTTCAGAGGAAGATGGACTCCAAGGTTGGAAGAACGAGATTTTGGTTTGGCCAAGAATCCGCTGGAGATATTAAGGCAATGATCATGGGGGAAGGTTTGAGGAACAGTCAGTGGAGGAGATATAATGACAAAGAAGACAGAATTGGATCAGAAGTTATGAGCTACAGACTCAGAGACTTGAAGGGATCAAGTACAGCTTGGATTGAGGAGCAGCAGATGTACTTGGTTACTGGGAAAGGCGGGGAACCAGGGCGGTGGCCCAGGATGCTTTTCGAGCGTTATTTCCTCCCATCCGGGAGAGGGCGCTGCGTCCGGGCGCCGAAAAGAAGCGGAAGACGTGGAAGCAAGGCTGCGTTCGATTGCCGCATGCGCGCATCCGACTACGCCCGGTTCGGCTTCAGCTTTTTTGGCCAGCAGCACCGACTGGACCTCTAGGCAGGGCATGATGGGTAACAAGACTGGACGGCTCCCCGGGGCTTAGCTCGGGTCGGAGTTGGGGCAGGCTAGCTTTTCTGGTCCTGTTCTCATAGAGCTGACGTGTCCTAGGTTCCAGGGAGCGGGCATTTACTCTGGACAGAAGGGCTCAGGGCACCTGGCCCAGGGGACCTGTGTGTCAGCGCTCAAGTAGTGGGGAGTTGAGTGTGGCTGCAGGCCCCGGAATGCTTGAATGTCCGCCCACCTAACTCCAGGGCCTGCTGAATCCGCTTTGCAGCTCTGGAGGAGATGCTGGGTCTGACTCCATCCCTTTTCTCCATACCTTCTAGTGGTCGGTACAGGCACGTCGCTGGCGCTCTCTTCCCTACTGTCCCTGCTGCTCTTCGCTGGGATGCAGATGTACAGTCGCCACCTGGCCTCCACGGAGTGGCTCACCATCCAGGGCGGCTTACTTGGCTCTGGCCTCTTCGTCTTCTCCCTTACTGTATCCTTGAGGCGGAGCTGGGGCGGGGATATGTTTGAGGGTTAGAAGCGTGAATAGCCATCGTTGCGGGCTTGCTTGTGCTCTTCACATTAACCACACTGCCCTGCTCCTATTTCTTGCCCTACTTCCCTTAACTTCCACAATCCAGGCTTTCAATAACCTGGAGAATCTTGTCTTTGGCAAAGGATTCCAAGCAAAAATCTTCCCCGAAAGTAAGTGAAAACTCAGAGGTTTTTCACCCTCGTCTCTGACCCCGGTCCCAACAAGATACATAAGTTTTAGGTGTTTTAATAGTGAGGTTTGTAGTCAGTTGCCTTTGTGTAGCTTCTAGCCACTCGATGTGTTCCGGGTAAAACCAGTCCACAGGGCTTTCAAGACTAACCTTTAGCAGTACCTTGCCAGGCCTATCTTCTGAATTTATCTAGGTTGGTTTGAACATCCAACCTTTTCATTCATAGCCCAGTTCGCCAAAGGTTGTTTAGAGGAAGGGACTATGTTTACTAAAACTATCTGAAGATTCATGACGCTTTTAAACTCTGAAAGTGACGAACTTATTTCTGGGTAACTCCCAGGGAAGGTTTGAGTGGAACAGGCAAGTTAAAGTGGATGTTTTGTATCTACTCAAGGATAGATAGTGTCTGTCCTCAGTAGAAGAAGCAGGACTGAGTTTAGTGAGGGGCTGTGATATGAAATTGACTCTTTTTGAGCTAGTATTTATGAATTCTGTTTATTGGATCCAATTGCAAAGACACTAAATATTAGGGACATCATATTTCTAAAGCAGCAGGAATCTTAACCAAGTTAGAATAGCTGTTAGATTATTTTCTGTGGGAAATATTTTTTATGCAAGTGATGATTTAGTCTGGTGGCCTTAAGGTAAAGAGTTGTACTGCCAACCCAAAGGCACATGGTTCAAAACCACCAGCTTCAGATCTTGTTTGACGGTACGTACACAAAAAAATAATAAAATTTTAAAAACCCAAAACGAAACCACCATCGTCTCTGTGGGACAGTCTCGTCCCGTGTTGTTTACAGCCTCTGAAAAGCTGTAGGGTTAGCCATGAATCACATCTGGCTAGATGGTATACAACAACAACATGGAGAATAAAGATCATTAAGCAAATTAAATGTCAAAGTGTGGTCCCCTAAGGGGTGCATAAAGCTCAGAAGTTCATAGGAGATGCAATCTCATGTACAGTTTTTATCTTATTAAACCAAAATCTATCAGTTGCTCTTACTTCTTCCCCTCAAGGCCTAAGGGGTGTGGGTGGCACTGTGTGCTAAGTGCTAGGCTGCTAATTGAAAAGCTGGCAAGTTGAACCCACCAAATGGGCAATTTGCTTGCATAAAGATTCATAGCCTTGGGAACTCTATGGGATAATTCTATTCTGATCTATGGTATCGCTATGATTCAGAATCAACTAGACAGCAGTGAGTTTGAGCATTTTTTTTTTTTCTAGGCATTGCTCTTTCCACCTAGCCCAGTTGTAGACTTCCAGGACTTCTTCCATTCTTTGTTTGTTGTTTTTTTTTTTAAAATTTTATTATTTTGTGTGCGTGTACCGTCAAATGACTTCTTCCATTCTTAACCCCAGTATTTATTTCTCTCTGTTGTTATTTGTTTTTAAATGTATTGTCTTAACCTGCTTTTCAAAGAAAGAATGTGTTGCTATGGGACAAAGTACCTGGTCTCCTTTGCCCACTGGTCCCTCCACACCTGGATAGGACAGGTCCTGTTGCTCTTGTCTTCTCTTACCTTCTCTCCTTTCTTTTTTTTTTTAAGGTATTTTTTTCTTTCTTATTTTATTTTATTTCATTATTTTTTGTGTGTACCATCAAATCAGATCTGACTGGTACAAGAGGAGATTGTTCCTCCTTCTCCAGCAGAGTATCTGGTGGATTTGAACCATGCACCTCTGAGATTGCAGTGCAGCTTCTTGCCACTAGGCCACCAGAGCTTGTCACCTTCTCTCCTTTCTTGATGTCTTGTCATCCTTTCCTGTTCCCCTGGAAGAGTATCTTTAGTCACTATCCTCCAACATGTATTCAGGGAACAAGACCCTCAACTTCTGCCACCAGCTCACCAGTTTAATGAGTATTTTCCCATGGCTGGCTTCTGTTAGAACAGCCTTAATCCTCTTCTTCAAATAGGAGCAAGCCCAACCTTCAAGGTCAGCTGTCTTAATTCCTTTATAGGTTTGGAAAGCCAGGCTAGAGATAGTAAAGGAAATTTAGGGCAGAGCTGGTAAAGAACATTCATCTGCTACTCTTATGACCTGGCTTTCATTAAGACCATCCGAAGTCCTGTTGCCTTTGTCGTGTCCTACCTGTAGGTCCCTAGATTCAGAGGACCTCAGATGGAAATCTAGATATGTAGATTCTACATATGGATGCATGATATTTTCATTCTGACCATAGTCTGCCTTGTTTCTTCTTTCTTCCCTAGTTCTCCTCTGCCTCTTGTTGGCTCTTTTTGCATCCGGCCTCATCCATCGAGTCTGTGTCACCACCTGGTATGTGCCTAACAGCTGGGTAAGGAGTGCAGTGCCCTGGCCTTTGCCACTGAATCCTGCCAGGCCTCCTTCCCTCTTTGCTGGTTCCCTATTTTCCTAAACCTGAACCTGGGTTTTAGCCCCCTGCTGGGCTGTCTGCCCTAGGAAGCACTGGGAGAGCTGTGTGCTCACTGATAACTTGGCTTTTTTTTTTAACTTCACCCTGTAGCTTCATCTTCTCCATGGTTGGTCTGTACTACATCAACAAGATTTCTTCAACTCTGTACCAAGCAACAGCTCCAGTCCTCACACCAGCCAAGGTCACGGGCAAGGGCAAGAAGAGAAACTGACATTCATTGTGCAATAAAGTTGATCCTTTGTAGTTTTGTGAGTTGTGATATGTTATGGACCTCATCTACCAATGCAGCCTTGATGTGAAGGATCTTAGGTAAAGTGGACATCTTCTGTCTTCAGAATTTGAAGATAGTGGGACATTTCCTTTGGGGTTCATTTGCCATATTTTTTGTTGTTGTTGTTGTGTACCATTGAATCAGACCTGATTGGCACAGGAGAAGATTGCCCCTCCTTCAGCAGAGCATCTGGTGGATTCGAACCATGCGACTTTGGGATTACAACACAGCTTCTTGCCACCAGAGCTCCCTTCATTTTTTTTTTTTTTTTCAGTTCTTTTTTTTTTTCTATAATTATATTTTATTAATTTTCATAAACATTTACAGAGATTTTGGGCTTCCACTCATTCATTGTTGCACTATTCTCTCTACCCTCCTCCCAGTTTGTTCTTGTCCAAATGCCACAGTGCTTGTCAAAGCCAGTTCTGATTAATCTTCTTTGTCAGTGTATCCTTTGCCATTCCCTATCACTCCTCCCTGAGAGAGACTTCACCCTGAGTCATAAGGAAAAGGGGACGGCGTATTCTCTTAGCTACTTCCTGCTGAAAAGGGACGCTGTGGGTTTCAGGGTGAAGATCTTCTCTCACTACTCTAAAGGGCCCCTTTGGCAGTAGGAAACACATAGACTATTATGGAGATTGATTTTGGAATTCAGATGCACTCTTATTGATTGTGCTTGGCTGTACATGTACATATCCTTCAAGATGTATCATGGGGGTGTTGCAACCTAGAAGACACAAATTTGACTAACAAGTTATAAGTACATGAGTCCAAAAATTATGGAAAAGTAAAAGAAAAGATTCTTTCATTGTTTTACAAACCCTCCCCCAGGTCCCCTCCACCATGCAGCCCTCGCAGAGCTCCCTTCATTTGATATACATTTATTAAATGTCAGTGCCAGGCACATGTGCTTGTGTGAAACTCCCATCATGGAAGGAAAGCGCAGATGACTAATGGCCTTTTCCCTTAGGGAAAGCAATAAAGTCTACAATGCAGAAAGTCCTGCCCACCAGAGCTGGAAAATACCTTGGAAAATAAAAGAAGAAAGATGTGTCACCCTGTGACACTGTGCATGAGGTCCCATTTGCCATCTGTAGGTGCTGTGTTACTCCAACTCCTCACCCTCAGCAAATGGCTTTGCTGCCCCTTGTGCTCCCAAGATCTGTATGGGAATTCCATACTCAGGGGGTACATGTGCCTATGATTAGAATAACTCCTGAGATTAATCACTCCCTCTATGCATCTTGTTTTGATGCCTTTGTTTCCTTCCTATGTTTCATAGCCAAGAAACTGGGAGTATACTAAATTTTGGCAAAGTACACAGACTGATAGAGGCAAGGCTACAACCTCTGAGCCAGTTTATTCTTGCAGGAACAATGAAGGTGGCAGCTTCCTGTCATTGCTCTGCCAAGAAGAGTGCATCTCTGTCTGGGGTGCCTGTCCTTTAAGGCACCTAGGCACCCTCTCCTGGATGGTATGGATTTTAGGATGGGCCCAGTGCTTTGGTTAGCTTTGTAACAATCTTCACAGTACCTGGGATGTGCAGTGAAAATGGTGTGGGGTAGTTGAATGAAAGGACTTCCCCTTTCCAGAGTATAATTCTGTACAAGGGAGGCACCTAAGAAGACTTGAAGTAAGTGAAAGAAGGCAGGGTCAAGGATGAAGGGTATCCTTCCCTGTCTGTAAGTGGCCCAGCCCTTGTCTCCCCCTCTATCCCAGGGCTAAGGCGGTGCTACGCAACTTTCCTGTCTGCCTGCAGAGGGTGCTGCTAGCACACATCTGTACCTCGTCCCCTCTGCTGGAGGCTGGCAACCCCTGGCCTGGAGAAGCTTGAGTGCTGGGGGAGGGGAGTGCGGGGTCCTGTTAGAGACGGTGGAAATCTGTCTCCTGAGTCCTGGTATGGATGCCAATCTTGGAAGACTCAAAAAACTGGTCCAGGGAGAAGGGCTAAAGCCCTGCCTTTCCCCCTCTTTCCCCCTCTAAACTGGCAGGGTGTTAGTGGAGACCACCCTCTCCGTGAGAGAGAATGCAGTCCTTGGCTCCAGCAACCTGATGGTGATGAGAAAGAGAAATGTGCCGTAGGGAAAACCTCCAGTAGAGAGAAGGAGGGTGTCCAAAATCACTTTGGGATTAGATTGAGTGGCTTTGGAACTATGGAAAGATTAGGTTAGTTCTAGGTCTCACTTTATCTAACCTCTATTTTTCTCCCAACTGGGAGTGGAAGCAGTGAGTCGAGGGCCAGGTCTTAGCCCAGGACACAGACCCGGGCTGGGGGATTCACTAGCTGCGCGGCACTATGCCTTCTATTAAGAGATCTGGCTGGAGTGGAACCAGGCAGTGAGCTTCACCTCTGAGGCAGGGGAGGGTGGGAGGAGCTGGAGAACAGGTGCCAGCACACCACCAAACAATTGTGCACCTGCTGCCACCTGCTCCCCGAGCACCAATAGCAGCTTGTGGCACAGGAATAATAACCCCTTCCCTCACGGACTGGGTGTATATACAAGGCAGGTTGGCGCCAATGTTGACTATCCACCCAGCCCATCTCTGAGGTGCCTCGTTGTAAGCTGCCTGCCCTGACCCACTAATTAACCCTGCCAGGGGTATCACAGTCACCTAAATCACCATAATTAAATAAGGGGCTGTGGGGACATCATGGCTTCCGGAGACTTGAGAGTGAGAAGGGCAAAGGTGCTAACCTCCCGGCCCTTCTGCTCCACCCCGGAGGCTGGAAGCCTGGGGGAGCGAGGGGCGGTCCCGCCTGTCCCTGAGGACAGAGGGAAGCCAGATGTTTCCTCCAGCTCCTTCACACTCTGCTCCCTCACACGCGCCTCTGACACCAGCCGGCACCCGCCGCCAGCTCCGGAAACCGGAGTAAATAATACAGGGGAGGGGGGGCTGTGGATGCAAGGGGGGGGCCTGATAGGAGAGGGGCTCTGGGAGCTCCTGGTCCTGGGTCACTCCCCATGGCTGGAGATGATGATTGCTCGATCCCAGGGTCCTGGGGAGGGAGGGAGACCAAGGGTAAGGAGGGTCCAAACTCAAACAAGGCTGGTCTAGCCTGGCACCTAGGTAGGGCATGCCAGAGGGTCAGGGCAGGGGGGCAGGGGCGCCAGGGCAGGCAGAGAGGGGGAGTCCACGCCAGTCCTTGGCTCCAGCCCTTTCCGGCCCTTATTGTCCTTGGTGAGAACAGGACGCTGTCCTGTTCCCACTGCCTGCCCCCCCAGTCCTGCTCTCCAGGGGCTCGGGAAGGATGTTGGGAAACAAGAGGGAGCCAGAGCCTTGGAGAGACAGAGATGCTGAGAGACGCAGAGACAGATACAAAAGGGGGAAAGGTCCAGTCAAAAGCACCATTGAAACTCATTGTGAGCCCTGCTTCATTGTGGGCGCTGTGGGAACCACGGAAGAATGGGAAGCCAGAGGCCCTGCCCTCAGGGACCTCTGGAATGGCCTGCCCTGTGCACACTCCTCCCCTGACTTAGGGTCACTCCCAGAACCGCCTCCAAAGCTAACAATGGCCTGGACCCTTGTGCTGGCGTAGTTGGTGGCACTTAATTACTTGATATTTCAAGTACAGTTTTTTTGTCTCTCCTAGAAAAATGAAAGGTTCTCATCAGGCACCCAAATCCCACTCAGCCACTAACGCTGTTCTGAGACTGAACAGGCCATGCCTAGAATGCACTGTAAAGGTGTTTGGTTGAGGCCCCACTAAGGTAGAAAGAAGCCAGCTAGGTGGCCTGGAGTTAGGCACTCCCATCCCCTGGATCTGGAGCAAACTGCACACTACTGCTTCCTGACCATTGCTAGGAAAACAAAAGTATGTTTGAAATTCTTATATCTAACAGATTAACACATTTAATGTAAGAGAAGAATACTATATATTGTTGTTATGTGCCATCAAGTTGCCTGTGACTCATAGTGACCCTATGTACAATAGCTGTGAATCCTGCCCTATCTTGTTCCAGTCTCACTGACTTTGACATACCATGGACTGCTAGGAAAACAAACAGATTTGTCCTGGAAAGGGTTAAACCGGGTGGCTCATTGGAGGCAAGCATTCTGAGGCTCCGTCTAACATACTTTGGACATGTTGTGAGGAGAGACTGGTCCTTGGAGAAGGACATCATGCTTGGTAGAGTGGAGGGACAGCATAGGAGGGGAAGGCCCTCTATGAGGTGGATTGATTCAGTGACTGGGATAATCGGGATGGGAGTGTCAGAGACAGTGCGATTGGCACAGGACAGAGCAGAGTTTAGGGCTGTTGTACATAGGGTCGCTGAGTCGCAAGCGACTCAACAGCACATAACAACAACAACACCACAACCCCCATTATACCATTTACTGTATCAGTCCATCTCATTCGAGGCCTTCCTCTTCTGCACTGTCCCTCTACCCTTCTAAACATGATGCCTTTCTTCAAGGACTGATCCCTCCTGGCTATGTGCCAAAGAATGTGAGACAGAGCTTCAGAATTCTTGCCTCTAAGGAGATAGATACTTGGTTTCTTTTACCCTCTTGAAGACAGACCTATTTGTTCTCCTGATGGTCCATGGTATGTTCAAGACTCTTCTCCAGCACCGTAACTCAAAGGCATCAATTCTTCTGTCATCCTTAGTCATTTTCCAGCTCTCTAGTGCATAGACTGACATCATTACTCCTTAGCACTTTGGAGAGGTCCCTGATGGCAGACTTCCCCAATGCAATTCAACTTTTGTTTTCCTAAATGCTGGTGCCAAGAGTGTTGATTGTGGAGGCAAGCAAGCTGAAATTGTTAACAACTTCAATTTCTTCTCCATCTATCATGGTGCTGTCAATTGGCCCAGTGGTGAGAATCTTTGTCTTCTTGATGTTGAGCTTCAATCCACATTTGAAGGCTGCAGTCCTTGACTTTCTGTAGCAAACACTCCAGATTCTCCTCAGTTTTGGCAAACAAAGTTGTGTCATCTGCATAACACAGGTTGTTGGTGAGTCTTCC